TCTTTTGACTACAAAAGAAAATTGTATTTAATGTTCTTTTTGCAAAAATTGTATGATGAATCCTGACATGACCTTTATACCATTTATGATTATTCTCTTTGCATTATAAAGTCATTTCCATTTTAGTTCAACAAGACTATTTTTTTCTAGTTTAACAAGACTGTTGACATAGATAGGCATTATACCAGGGATGGAAGGACTCACTGGAGAAGAGCCTAATGCTGGGGTAGGCGTGAGCTTAAATGGACTCCAGAAGATAGTAGAGGACAGGAAGGCCTGGAGGAATGTTGTCCATGGGGTCGCGATGGGTCAGACACGACTTCGCAACTAACAACAACAATACCAGGGATGGCTTTTTGGTACATCTCTGCTGAGCTGTAAAATTAATTGGCAGCATTTTGATTGGCAGATATCAAGGAGTGGCTTGAATTATTATACAAACAATAAACAAACAAATGAACCTTATTTAAAAGAGAGTAAAGGTAGCTTCTCAGTGAAATAAATTCCCTGTCAGTCACATACTTTAGAATATAGGCTAGTTCTTCACTGATCCCAGAGACTTAAATTAGCGGAATAGGAAAATGGTGCCATGTGTTGCTATTTTGCTTAGTTTAAATGCTAAGAATGAAAGACAGTATGGCACCTTGCACGATATGATAACAGAATAACCAAGATCATGATTTTTTTTCTTCTAGAACCAATTTAAGTTCTTTAAGTAGGATTAAAATCATTGCATTAAATTTAAAGTTAAAAGAAAAACCAAATACCATGCCAAATGCATTGATTGACCAATCTTTGTTATTTGTACAATAAAAACCATATAACTAGCCCTACTGTCAACCTGTTTAGTATATATTAAACAAAATTCAGTGAAGGCTAACTTGTTTCCCTATGATAGATAGACTGGGAAATCCACCAGCTATTAGAAGAAGCTCCACTGCACAGTGTAGATATAATGGTGATAAATAATATAATATTAGTAATGTTTATATTTGTATGGGGGGTTATTTTGAAATTAATAAAAATTTTAAAACAAAAATAATAATAATATAATATTAGTGGAAATCATCTCTTGTAGCAAAGGTTTGATAATAAACTTTAACACATTGGTTTTCACTTGGGCTTTTCTACCACTTGCATTTGCTTTGTTTCCAGACATTTCCGTAATAGATCAAGGAGTTAAAAATAATCCTCATAAAATGGCTTTTCACGATGTGCTTTAAGATGTGCTAATAAATAATTAGGAATTATTTATAGTCTATTAATCTCGGGGGCTACTCACACCATGAAGTATAGAAAATCCTGGCAGATATAAACTGAGATTTGGAGAAAGAATTAACCAGGATAGTTTTTATACCTGCTTTCCTCCTCATACATAAGATAGATATCTTGTTTCATTTAAAAAAAAGATATTGAGAAAGTTTTTCTTTACTTGTATGGAATTGCAAAACATAGCAAGTCCTTTTTTGAGCTGCTTTTCCCCCAGCTGTGCTATTGTGAGATTGTTTATTCTGTACTCATTGAAGCCCAAAAAAACACTGTAGTAAGGAAAGGGGCCAACAAACTTGTTGGGGCAAGGCCAATAGCAGGGCATCTATAAGACTTGTTTCAGCAGCTTTCAAGCCTAGTACAAGCCTTGCTGACTTCCTGTTTTATTAATTTTGGAGCTTTAGGTCTTTCTAGTTAATCTTTTCAGTGTCATTTGCAAATGTACCATATTTAAGTTTGGAGCAAATGTTATTGATAAATAACATTTTTAGAATACAGAGTATGGCAGTTCTAAGCTATTATTTGTGCGGATTGCTTTCTAGGCCTTTGGATACACAGCAAGGAAGATGAGAAGATTGTACCTCAAAACCTCAATGTTCTTTTTTTAAAAAATAAGAAGTGGTCTTTGATGGGAGACCAGCCCTTAAAACTTGATCCATATTTTATACAATAAAATGCTTGAACACTAGCACACTGTATAACCCCCCCCCCCCCAAAAAAAAACCCCAAACAAAAAAGTTTGAAAATGAAATCTTTACTTTAGGCATCTCAGAATATAATTTTCCTTTCTTCTTTTGTTGATGTGTAAAGGCTTATTTTCCACTCTGGTCATATTCATGACTGGATATAGTTTGGTCTCAATCACAGCTTAATTTTGTAAGATATTTCCTTATCTTCCAGTTGTAACAAACATTAAACTTTGCAAAATGAAGGAACCTTTAAAGTCCTGTTTGGATCACAGAATATTTCCAGTCATGAGTAAAGTACTTTAGATCAGAGGGTGTTCTGCTACTTCAATGTTGGGAGTGCTTTAAAACGACAGAAGTGCAAGTTCCTCAAGCTGGAACATTTGAGGTAGAGGAGTTGTCTTTCCCCCCCACCCCAACTCTTAGATCCTTGGATTGAGTGCCTTTTTCAGACTTCAGATCAGAACCCAGATTGGTAGGTATTTCAGTGTATCCATTACATAGCTATGAGCATTGCCTATAAGTCTCATATAGCCTGAGGATTGCACCTCTCTACATAAGATTCCATTTCAGTTATTTCTTCAAGGAGGCTTCATGTTGTTCCTGATATGAGGGAGATGAACCAAAGAAGCTACATTATACTAGATCACAGTATTTGTTCAGCTAACTCAGAGCCCTCTTATCTCCAGTATTGTCTATATTAATTTCAGCTACTCCAGTACTGTATTTCCTATCATGGGCGGCTGATCCTTTTAATTGGTGAGTGCATCGTAGACTAAAAGTATGTGATCTTATTACTAAACCAGGATCCTTCCTACTACGCGAAATATTGACATAGACTAGAGAAAGGCTTTCTCAAGACAGACTTCAGATACCAAGAGTCATCGCTTTTATGACTCTCATAATGCAAATCCTTGCTAAGGTTTAGAAAAATGCTATATGTATAAGACATGTTTTTTTCAATTATACTTTAAAGAGTGAATTTATAACCATTTTAATTATATGAAATTTCTAACAATTTGTGAATAAAATAAAATCTTTGTTTTTTAAATAGTGGAATTAAAAGATGGGAGAAATAGCCCAAAAGTTTTGTCATTCTTCTCGAATTCTTATGGATCATCAGCTTACTAGTTGTCTCTCAGAGGCTGCTGCTAAGTTCAGTTTTTCTATGTTTATATGGTTACAGTAAAATGTTGTTTCTAATATACAGTAGCATACCTTGGTTTGTACAGTTGGATATTTATTGAAACAGGGACAGAAGCAATAATATGGCTTCATTCACATTTCTGTTTAATTTGGAAGAGTCTGGATGCTACACAGAGTGAATTTTTTTGGAGATTCTGTGTTCCTTCCTATATCCTTTTTTTTTTTTTTACCTCTTGGTCTGCTTTAACCAAGCATTGCAACATGCCAGTTCTTGAGGATTGCAAAGCCCTTATGAGTACTAGATCTTATTGCATTGTTGGCTCAAGACATAAATTCCTTGTACAGGAGGAAATAGACAAGAAACTGCTTGTTTGCAAAGGAGATAAGCTCCTTCCCGCAAAGTGTTGTCTGATTTACTATATTTGGTTTTTTTTTTCAGCCTCTTCTGACCTTACTGATCTTTGCTATGAGCACTTCTTGTCAGTTTCTTAGAATGCTTTGCATTTATTTTACAAGATAGGTATGTCAATCTTATCAATCATATTTATGCTATTAATTTCTGTCTTAGTATGAACTGGAATGAGTTCTGCTTGCAGTTGTTATCAGTAAACAATTCTGTATTGCTCCTGGATGATGATAGTACACAGAATAATATCCTATGTACCCTTTAAGTGCAATATAGATAGATATACTGTAGATAGAGATAGAGATGATAGAGATAGGCTGCTACTACATCTTTGAATACTCTAGGAAGATTATCATGGCCATACTGGCTTAAAGCCAGCCTGCCTGGTTTCCAAAGGGGAATAGACACACCTTGTCTTTGCTGACAAGCTTGTTGTGCCATCTGGTAGTACAGTAACTTAAATGTTGTCTTTGCTATATCACAGATAGTGAAAGCCTAATTTAGCAGATCAGATACGAGATATCTATATCTATCTATATCTATATTTACTCTATCTATCTATCTATCTATACATACATACATACATACATACATACATACATACATATATATATACATATACATATACATAAACATATAATCTCGTGAGGGGTTTTGGGGGAGGAACGGGGGGATTGATTTATCAACTGAACTATACTGCTGTATAGGTGAAGCCTATCCTGCTGTATGCTTTTTGCAATTTACATGTTTGCTATATGATAGTACTTATTTTTAGTGCATTGTATGGATGCAGGGCTATTTTTATTATAGTTGTTGGTCATTACTCTGATATCTATTGTATGAATAACCAAGTTCAGTTTTAGAACTGCCTGCCTTTTCCATTTAGGATCTGTTTTTGGCTTTGCCCTTGGCTTTTGAGGAAGAATTAACAGTGGATGTTTCTTTGGGCTGTATGTGTCCTTCTCTCATTCAAAAATAATTTGCCTTTAATTGATTCAAGCACACAATTATTCCAGCTTGTTTTATACTTAATATCTGCAGCTTATTCTCTGTTGTCATTGCTGGCTCTGACAGCATGAGATCAATAGCTCCTGTCTTCTTTGTCACTGTTGCCTGTAACATTTTTGGCCTTTCCTAAAGAGCCCAATCAATATTTTGCTCCAAGGTTTGTTCTCATGTGCTATATATAATCTGGACACATGCCATGTGTGTGTATGAATGTGTACATCGCACGCAGAGAGAGGATGAACCTGCTTTTGCTCTCACTAGCTGAACTGACACCGCTGTGTTTTTTCTTCTGCTCTTTCTTTATAATGCAGTTACTATTCCCACACTCTGGCCTGCTTCTTTCCTCTGTTCTCGGATTATATGGCTATTGTGAGTCAGCAGATTTTTTATTATCTCGTGAAAACATACTTGGCTTTCGGGGACATCTATGACTTTTTTTATAATTTCTGCTGTTGGCAGGTGACCTGTGGTAAAAATCAAGCAAGAAGGACAATGACAAGCACAGTACCTTCCAAGAAGCCTTACCGTAAGGCTCCACCACAACATCGTGAGATTCATCATGAGCTGCCCATTCTGTGTGATGAATATGATGGTGTGATTTTGGCAGAGCAGAATCAGGTAACTGAACTCAAGGCAGTTAAGGATCTGGTGTATCTGCAGAAGGGGTTCAGCTGTATCAGGACAGATAACCTTAAACAGCAGGTGGATGGGTATGATGAGGTTTGCAATGTTAACTTTCCTTCCTTGTCTTTGGAGTCAAGTAGTGACAAGAAAGTAGCAGGATGCCAAGCAGAACTAAACCTGAAGAGTTGGAATCTATCTTCTGCCGTACTTCCCAGCTGGAAAGTAGAGAAACAGAGTATGAAATACTCTCAGTATCCTAGCCAAAGGTGGCTCAGTAAGTTCATGTGCCAGAGTGTGGAGACGTTAATGGCTTCTGGGGATGAAGGCCAAAAGCCATTCTGCTCCTTGAAAAGTAGAAGTTCACAACGTTCTCTTATGTTCAAAGAACCTGCTGAGGTATTGGCACCAAGGAAAATCCATATTCCAACCACTCGCCTACCTCTCAAAGGCATCTTGAAGCAGACAAAGATGCTGAATGTGCAGCCTCAAAACTTGGGAACATTCAACTCAGTAGAAACCCTGACCCAAAGCCACCAATCACAACTGTATAATGACCCTCAATCTTGCTCTTCGGAGTTTGGCCGACAAAAAGACAAAAAAAGACAGTTCTCAAAGTTCCTGGATGAGATCACCCACAGAGTCCTGAGTCCTGTCTATTTGCCTTCTTGGGATGAAGATAGTGGAGAAGAAAGAATCCAGAAGTCTTTCACAGTTTCTAAATGTTCCACACAAAAAGGGCAGAAGGAAAGCCTGCTTGAGAGCACTAAGCAGATCACTAAGAAAAGCCCTTGTCTAGTTAAGAGAAGAGAAGAATGGAGGCGAGAGGGCCTTGAAATAATATTCTGCCATAGGAAGCCTCCCGAGGAGATGGACAGGACACCTAGACAAAGGAGAAAGCTTGCTCTAGTGAGGAAGGACAGCACAGAGAAGCTTCGGTCTGTGGAGAAACAGGTGGTGGATTTGTGTCAATATCAGTTACAGTACCTAGTGGAATTGAGTTTGTCAACAGTATCTTTTAAGCAACAGCATCTACGCTCATGGAAAATATCTTAGCAAGTGGGAGGGATGGATACAAGGCAGGACCAAAGTGAATACTTGCTATGTACTTGCAATCCACCTGGCCACGTGCCAATTTGGATTGAGGTTACCTGGAGGAGAAAAAGAGATCCTCTCCTCGCTTGTGTTGGCAACAGGAGAATGGTAGTATACCACTTAGAATTTCTCTTTCTTTCAGCTTAGCTATCAACAAGGTAGGAGCTTAGAAAGAGGGGATAAGTAACCAGTTTTGCACTTAAACACATACTTGTTATAGCAATAAGCATCAGAAGGGGGCTTTTCCCTCATTCCTCAGTTGAGGATTTAATATCAAACTTTTTAGCCCTGTCTCTGTGGAAAGAGATAATTATGCAATAAGGAAACTCAGCCCATTTGCTTAAATGGGAACTTTCCAATCATTCACTTAATTTATATCCCTTTATGTTCAAATTTAGATTGCTTTGGTTTGTTTTTTTTTTCCAATGCATTTTTTCATACCTTTATTGCCATGGTCCGTTTAGGGCACCTCTTTTGCATTGATTTGAATAGTAACACAATAAATCCTGCTGCTGTTGTTTGTTATCTGATTGCAGGATTGCAAAATTGTAGCTTAAAAGACTAAATGCATCTGCTGCCATTTACTTACTGGGTCAGACAGCCTAATAAGTGCACATTTTCATCTAAGCATTGTTCTTGAGATCTTCCATTCCTTTCTCTAAGGAAAAGGATTCTTAAGTTAAATGCTCTAACACAGTGTTTCTCAACCTTGACAATTTTAAGGCATGTGGACTTCAACTCCCAGAATTCCACAGCCAGCATTGCTGGCTGTGGAATTCTGGGAGTTGAAATCCACATGCCTTAAAATTGTCAAGGTTGAGAAACACTGCTCTAACAGAAGATTCTGTAATTTCTGGTATCAGATTTAAGAAGATATGGGGACTTCTAAATGACTTTTTTTTCCTTGCGTTGTCATAGTTTTGCATGCCTGCTCTTTCTTACTATCTGATTGGTCACCTTTCCCTCTGATTCAAATGCTGTGAGAATAAAAGAATAAAAAGTGTGGAATAGCTTGTTTGACAACTCTTTATGTGACAAATGTGACAAAAGTACCAATGAGCAAGACGAGAAGGAGCAATTATCCCAAAGGTGCTTTTTCAAAAGGCAACTGGACCTTGTTTTTCCTTGAAGTTGTTTCGCTTCTCATCCAAGAAACTTCTTCAGATCTGACAGAATGGTGGAGGATGGAAGGGTTTATATTTACATCCTCCACCATTCAGTCAGAATTGAAGAAGCTTCTTGGATGAGAAGTGAAACTTCTTCAAGGAAAAACAAAGAAAGTCCATTTGCCTTTTGAAAAAGCACCTTTGGGACAACCATAACATGGATGACTGAGAATCTTCATAGACAAAAGGAGTAATTGGAAACCATGATAGTTAAAAGTTAGGACCATTGAGAGTTTCTGATTCAGAGCTTTCCAAATCTCGAAAGATAATTATGAAGTAAAATTAAATAGAAATACTAAGTTATGACATTTGACCAATTGAGAACATCTGGATTCAAATTCCTATCAAACCATAACATTTAGAGGATGAATTTAGATGGTTTCATTTCTGCTGGCCTAAAATATCTTAAGTTTGTTATGAAGACTACCCTTTCTGTAAAATGGAGTTGGTAAAGAATGTTCTAGGTCTTTGATGGCAATATCATTTATCTTAATTTTTTTTGTTGATAGGGTTGATAGAGTAATGTACACTGATTTATGGCACAACATAGCATTTTGCTAACTTTCTAAAACAACATAGTGACACGTTGAATGTAGAATAGCTTGTGGTGTAAAAGGGAACAAACAAATGTCTGGAAAGCTTAAGTCAACCTGTGTTTTGACTGAAAGACTATGTTTGCCATAAAACAATTCCTAAATACTATTTTGTAAAATAACCCTTGTGATTGAGAGAACTGTTCAGAATACTCTTGTGTTCTTAATTCAAATTATCCTCCCTTCATAACCACAATTGTGGCCTAATGTAAGCAGTTTCTCAAAAATATTTGTGGCTTCACCAGAAATCTGATGTTCAGATTGGTCTTGTCCTCTGGCGCCTGCTTGCACAAGTCCCTGCAGTTTTCTTGGCAAGATTTCAGACGTAGTTTGCCATTGTCTGCTTCCTGGGCTGAGAGAGCGATTGGCTCAGCTGAGTTCATGCCTCAGGCAGGCATAGAATGCAGAGTCTCCTGGTTTCAAGACTTGATACCTTCAGCCACTACACCAAACTGGCTCTTACTTTTTCCATTTAGCATTTGTATGGTTTAGTTCATGGGTAGGCAACCTTGGCTCTTTTATGACTCGTGGACTTCAACTCCCAGAATTCCTGAGCCAGCCATGCTGGCTCAGGAATTCTGGGAGTTGAAGTCCACGAGTCATAAAAGAGCCAAAGTTGCCTACCCCTGGTTTAGTTTGATATTCTGGTAACCTGTTCATATTTTTAATTAAACCTTGATTCTGTTTCCTTTTATTATTTTTTTGTAGGAGCCCTTGACAGATGCAGACAGGATAAAGTAAGTATCCTGGCCCTTTTTTGTTCCATATTTGTTTGTAGTTCTTCTGTTTCAGGTTATATTATCTGTGCTTGTTTCCTGATGTTGTGGAATAGTGTTTTCCTCTGTTAACTTTTTAATATGCTTAAAAAGAACTAATGTTTAACTTTAACAGTCTGGCAAAAGTGATTGTTGTAGAACTGATGATAATGGCTGACTTGAGCTTAAACTGCCAAAGCTGCTCTTCACAGCTGTAGAAGTATTAAGTGAAAACTCCAGTGTTATCTCTGTCTTCGTGCTGCTATAACGGGCTAGTTTAAGAACAATATCCATTCTAAGTTTGATCATCTATTTATGTCAATGCCGGCTGGCGACCCCCAGGGGGAGAGCCTTCTCTGTGGCAGCTCCTGCCCTCTGGAATGACCTACCCCCCGACCTACGTACAACTACGGACCTGCGCCTCTTCCGCCGAGCCATCTATTCCATGCGGCCGGCCTGGCGTAGTTTTGATTGGGCTTTGCTAGGGGTTTTATATGGGGTATTTTTAGAGGAGGCTTTTTATTCAATATTTATTGTGATTTTTATTATTGCCTGTTCACCGCCCTGAGTCCCGTAAGGGAGATAGGGCGGTATATAAATTTAAATAATAAATAAATAAATGTGGCTTGAAAATATTATTTTATGTTGTTTTTGGAAAATTCAACGGTTAAAATATTTGCAGATGATAAGCCTATGATGAACTACACTAACAGAATGATTGAATCTTTGAGAGGATGTCTACATAGATGTAAATGTACGGACATGGCAACATAACCCTCATGCATCAGTATTTCCAAAGCCAATATGTGAATACTGCTACATCTTCATCTAGAAATTTATTTGGTGACCTAGAAATGGATAGTTCTCTTAATACGAACATTGAAGTCAAAGTAAAAATGGGATGGTGATTATTTGTTTTCCCTGGGAACACATAAATTATTGAGTGAGTTTCAACTTCCAGTGGAGGATACCTGAGCTATCTAGCCCCATCTGGCTGATGTGCTTAATCTAGAGGCTGTAAACTAAGAAGGAGCTGCTTGCATAGGTGGGTGGCCTACTTTTTTGAATTAAACTCCCTGTCTGTAGAGTAGTAGAGAAATGATCGAGCATGGAATTTTCCTTCCCTGCCCAAAGCAAGCTGCTCACACTTGCTCACGTCGGTGCTCAGAAGGGCTTGCTCCTTAAAACAGTCTTGTGGGATTCTTCATTCTGTGCATTAGATTTACCTGATCTTGCATACTGTTTTTGATCCTAAATCTATCCCAGGTTTTGTTCATCTTACTTTCTGGTCTGATAACATACTAGTTATTTTGAAAAACTATCTTCAGCACTGCCCAAATAGCAATAGCAATAGTGCTTAGCCTTATATATCACCCCGTAGTGCTTTACAGCCCTCTCTAAGTGGTTTACAGAGTCAGCATATTGCCCCCAATAATATGGGTCCTCATTTTACCGACCTGGAAGAATGGAAGGCTGAGTCAGCTTACCCAAAAAGCTCCTGTGGCAAATAAAACCAGTCACAAAAATCTGACTAGGAAAGCAATTACTGCAAACCATATACGTTTGTATTTTACATTTTAGGAATTCTCTCTCTCTCTCTCTCTCTCTCTCTCTCTCTCTCTCTCTCTCTCTCTCTCTCTCTCTCTCCCTCCCTCCCTCCCTCCCTCCCTCTCCCTCTCTCTCTCTCTCTCTCTCTCTCTCTCTCTCACACACACACACACACACACACACACACACACACACACACACACACACACACACACACACACTTTTAACCATCACAGACATACCAATATAGTATTCCACTGACTACTGCCTTCTGACTTCCTTAGCTTAAGTAAGCCTAACATCAGTACCTGGAAAGATGTTTGGGCAGATAGTAACCATTTTAAAGACAATACTGCAATTGCTATGCCAACCTTTTTATAAAACTAGGTCATGTGAAACAGATCTCATCTCCTTTGCAAGTCAATTATTTTAGCTGTCCATGCTGTGGATATAGCCTGCCTCAATTCCAGCAAGCCTTTTGACAAGATTCCACATGGCATTCTCTGTGACAAGTATTAAAGTATAATTTGGGTAGCACTGCAGTAAGATTGGTCTACACCAGATGGCCGTCTGTGCTCAGGCAATCAGCATGAATGGTTCTACATCAGGTTACAAAGCAGTAACTACTGAAATCTATCTTGCAGTCGATATTATTCTGCATTTTTATTAGACGTCTGGATAATGAGATTGATGGGCTGCTTACTAAATTTGTAAAGGACACAAAATTGGAAGATCTGGCTAAAATCCTGGGTGACAGAATAAGATTGCAGTCTAATTTGAACAAATTAGAAGGCTGGACTGAAAAGAAGCAAATTGTTCTTCAAAAGGGAAAAAAATGTAAATTATTATATTTAGGGAGGAAAAATACATGAACATGCCTAAAAGACGAGTGTTGTTGGCTTGAAAGCACTATAAAGGAGAATGTGTGTATTCTTTGTCAACAAGCTAACGTAAGTTAGTGTGAGATAGTTGTTGAAAGAGCATTATATTAAAGATGTATGAAGCCCTTATTCCCCTCTACTACACACTGGTGAGTCCACATCTGCAGTAACATGTATAATTCTGGGACCACATTTCCAGAAAGTTATTGATTAATTTAGGACAGGTTCAGAGGAGAGTGACAAAGATGTTATAGAGACTAGAGTACAGACTGAAGGAACTTTGGATGTTCAACCAGAAAAAAAAAGACTGAAGGGAGATATTAAAAGGTGCTATAGAGAAGATAATCAGGTGATATTTTCCATTGTCATAAAAATGGGAACCAAAAACAATGGTTATAGGTGTCAGCCTCTTGAAACTTGCTTAAATATAAGCACCAACTTTTGATAGTAAGATCTGACAAGCAGTGGAATGTTTTTCCTACGGAGGTTGTGGGTTTTCTGTCACTGGTTAGATTTTTAAGAGGATGTGGCTTCTTGAGGGTAATTTAATTGCTTTTCATGCATTTTGCAGAGGGTTGGACAAGATGATCATTGGACCTTTCACTTTCATGATTCTGTGATTCCTTTCCTCGCTTACCAAATGATGGATTTTCCCCCCTTTGGTTTTGAGCATCCTGTATAGGAAAATTTGAACTTGAAGCTATCAGTTTTCTATCCACAGGACTTGTGGATATTTTGTAGAAGTGATGAAAGTTTGGGCGTCTTGGGCGTAGGATATAATTGGTCAGTTGTTCTAAGCAAATTTTCAGTTTATATAGCTTATTTGTTCTAAATTAGGTGACAATTGAAGATACGTTTTGTGTGTTTATCTTGTTTCAACTTTCCAGATTCCAGGAATACAATTGAACTTCTCTCAGATGCACATTGATATATTGTCAGTGAAGCTTCCTGTAGTTTAATTGGAAATAAGTTGCTGATTTTTGTACCTTAGGTTGTTGCAGCATGACAATGAGGAGCTACGTCGACGTTTGGCCTATGTCACCAACAAAATGGAAGCAATGGAGAGGGAGTTGGAGTCTGGGCAAGACTATCTGGAGATGGAATTGGGCCAAAATCGAGAAGAACTAGAAAAATTTAAAGACAAATTCCGTAGGTATGTGACTTTTAGAACATCAGGTAGTGCTTAGCTCATTCTGCAATATATTTTAACACACTCTGCCATTTGTAGAAATACTGCAAATGAAGTCAGGGGAATCTTTGGCTTTCCAGGTGTTCAGCTACAACTCTTAATAGCTCCTGGCTACTGTTCTTCATAGTAGTTGTTTAACAACATCTGGAAGGCCAAAGACTTCTATATTCTCTTTAGATCATTATGTACAGGGAAATAGTTCTATATGAAATGTATGTCCTGAGGCGTACAGACACCACTTATAAAGCTAGATTTTTTTCCCCTTTAGCATTTTGGCTTGCTATTGGATAGCTTAGTGTTATGTAAGACCCATAGATTTACAGCGCTATATTGTAAGTATTGCATAAAGACTTTTTGGTCAGACTTTTTAATACCTTGGTTAATAACTGAAGACAGCCATAGGGAGCTAGAAACAGAAAATGAAATCAGCTTTATTGAATATTGTGAAAGACATGCGCCCAATCAAAATGTCTCCCCATGACTCCCCAAGATGATGGCTATATTGTCTCATTTGGTGTTGAATCTTGAAATCAGTAATATCTATTGGGATATATCACATTTTATTTGCATCTGTCTAGATCACCGTATCCCAACATTGGCAATTTGGAGATGTGTGAACTTCAACTCCTAGAATTCCCCAGCCAGAATCTAGGAGTTGAAGTCCACACATCTTCAAGCTGCCAATGTTGAGAAACACTCATCTAGAGTTTTGTTACGCCTAGGAAAGTTGTTGACATAAGTGATGTTTTAGAGGGGGGAAAGGGTCCTTTCTCATTGCCTATCAATATTTATTAGACCTGGATACAGTAGTTTAGACCAAGCTGAGAATCCAGTTCTTAGAAAACACAGATAAGTCATGGATCACCAGCTTAGAAACTGGGGCAATGGAGATAAGTGTGCAGTTACTAATATAGCAACTTCACGGATGGGGAGAAGATAAGGTGATGAAGAGAGAGACAGATAACTGTATTCTACCATATAGAATTGGGAGTTTTCTCTGAAAGCTTTATCATAGTATTCAGCATTTCTGCTCTTTTACTGAAGTGAATTTTGATCATCTTCTCTTATCAAACTTGTTCTCCCCCTGCAATTCATACACCCTCCCTCCAATTTTGTACCTCCTTTCTCAAGCTACCTGCAGATTAATGCAGAAGGAGATGAAATACTTAAGCATGGCAAAGTTTAAGGCATGCAGTAAATACAATACCATACCACAGTCCATTGTATAATATATCATATCTGGTGGGCCTATTCAGTAACATGGATACTCTTTTATATCTCAGATTGCAAAATAGTTACACAGCTTCACAAAGAACAAATCAGGATTTGGAGGAGAAGCTGCATGCCCTGGTAAGTGATTGTATGGCCTTGTAACGAGTAGAACGGGCAGGTCTAACTGTTTTAAAGATCCTAAAGGGTACTAGTATTGTATAGTAATATCAAAATGCAATGAATCAAGATTTGGAGTAGAATTTCAGTCTAGAGTTGATGAAAATGGGCATTGCTTCCAAGTCTTGTGTTTTGTGCAACAGTATTTTGGGTTCTCCTGTAACACAGCTATTTGTAGTTTGTCCTGCAGCTTTTTAAAAGAGTCTTGGAGTCATTATGTGCTGCTTATTGCAGAATCTGGGTGGGATGGTTTTGTTATGAATTGTAAGGTGTCAAGAGTGGAGCCAACATTTGTATATTGTGTGCATTCATAACACTCATGGCTTTTTTTCTCTCCTTTCTCTCTCTCTGTTTCTTTCCTTCCTACGCTGCTGCTGGCACATGCTGGGTGTGCTCACCTCTCAGGCCTCTCTCAGTCAAAACTGGATTTTTGCAGTTGCGTCTTTTCGTTTGTGTGTTATTCTTTTCCTCTTCACATGTTTCAGCCTTTCCAGTTTCATTGTTGTCCATGCATTACTCAGCCCCACTTGCACTGTCTTTGATGGGATCCAGAATCTGAATCAGCCAACAACTTGGGTTTGAATGAAATAGCTGATGTTTTCCTAGCATGACTTGCTCCATCCTATTTTATGGGATGTCATAGTTTTTTTGGGGGGGGGAATGCCATTTGTCTTTCCAAAAAATTAATCTACACGGGATATAGTACTTTTTCTTATCATTGCAGAACTAGGAGTTGGGTAGTATAGTTCTCAGAAACTTCAATCACCATAACCAAAACTGAGGATTTCTCATTCTAGTACAAATACAGTATTAAATCATTATCATTTTAATCCAATATCAACACTTGCGCTTCACAAGACAGAATGAAGTGGGGACAAGTTCACGTGAAATACACACACACATACACACACACACACTGGTATATATATTTCTGCAGGGCTGTGGGAATTCTGCATTTCTGAATGGGCTTTAGAACAATAAGGTATTACTTTAAATGCAAAATGAATACTCTGAGAATCAATTTTCATGGAAAGCACAAGTGGACAACTTTCAGTTGTATATTTTCCTGGTCCCTGAATCCCATCCTGACCACATTCCTTTACAACAGTGTTTCTCAACCTTGACAATTTTAAGGCATGTGGACTTCAACTCCCAGAATTCCACAGCCAGCATTGCTGGCTGTGGAATTCTGGGAGTTGAAGTCCACATGCCTTAAAATTGTCAAGGTTGAGAAACACTGCTTTACAATAAGTGCTTTGCTGGGTGAGTTTGCCATTGAGGCAGGAAACACATCATATAGTGTGAGCAGTAAAGTTAGGCCTAAAGTAGTAAACAGATCTCAACATTCATTCCTCAAACCCAGGCCAGATCTCAGCTCCAATCACTGCATCATCAACCCACCCACCGCCTTCATTTTGCTCCAAAGGGCGGGTCTCAGCTGCTAGAAGAGCCTGCATTGAAAGAGCCTATATTTAGTATTTAAAAGCTGTGGTACACTTATTTGAAAGCAAACTCTATTAGACTGAATGAGGCACACTAGAACCTGTGTGGTACTGCGGTGACCCCCAAACTTTTGAGCACCAGGGACCATTTCTGTGGAGAGAGATTTTTTTGCGGACCTGAGGAGTGTGATTTTGCATGCTGCCTGCATCCCATGCATTCATGGATGGTCACTCACTTGGGTGGCCCACTTTCTGGCATGCCGTGGCTCAGTGCTGGTCCACGGCCCAGGGGTTGGGGATCCCCGTGGTACTGGGCTGGTTTTCTGTGGAAAAGGTAAGGTACTTTTGTAAGGTTTGAAAGTGAGTGGCAAATGCCTGTTGAAGATTTCATAGCAGAATTTAATACGTAATTATGTGATACATAATTAAGAGGCTTATGTTTTGCTACTTCAGCAAAATGTCTTATTTAGAAGAACTTGGGATAAAAGGTTGGTCTTGAAGACTCAAGAAATAGTTGAGGGCTAGGATGCACAGATCAATTTAAGTCTATTCCTTATCAATATGGCATGCATATAAACATTACTTTTTGCCCCTCAGATTACAGAATTACCTGTTGTTGTTTTTTTTAAAAAAAACTATCCAGTTTTGTCTAGTGATTAAGGCATCAGGCTAGAAACCAGGATACTGTGAGTTCTAGTCCCGCCTTAGGCCTGAAAGCCAGCTTGCATGACTTTGGGCTAGTCATATTCTCTCAGCTCAATCTAGCTCACAGGGTGATTGTTAAGGGGAAAATAGGAGGAAGACAATTTTTTAGGTATTAAGTTTGCCACCTTGAGTTATTTATAAAAATAATAAAGATGGAATAGAAATAAATAAAAAAACAAACCCTCAATCATTGTTATTCATTGCACTTTATGCACCTTGCTCAAAGCTATGTATTTTTATTTGAATTCATGCCAAGATGGGTTTTATTTTTGGTAGATCACATCACTTTTATTATAAAGAATATTTGTACTAGCCTGCATTGCTAGGTAAGTGTAGGAGACTAGAATTTCAAATCTCTCGATGCAAGAACTTTTTCTTTCTAATGATAAGCCTTAGATATTGATTTGATCTGTTTTAAAAAGTATAATATCTGCTTATTTACAAGATTTTCCCGTACCATTCTCCCACCATGTCTAGACTTAAATGATCCTCTTTTATTGAATGAAAATTGACATTTTTGTTAATTAATGAGTATTGTGAAATTAAAGGCCATGTGTAACAGTGAGTTTCAGACAAAGCCAAATAAGTTACTATTCCTCTGCCCTGCAATTGGATGATTAATTGTTGCAGAAAACCATAGTATGTATAGAGTTGCAGAAAATCTGAGAAGAAGAAATAATAAGTACAGTTGCTTTGGATATTTCATGTGCTCCTATTACTTTTTTTTAGATGAATGCACACAAACAGCTTTTCATAGTTTCCCAAAGCATAATTTCTCTCCTGCTCAAATGCGTCTATTCAAAGGAAAATGACAAAATCTGACCTTGTTCACTTTCCAAGATGTTCTTGGATTTCAATTCTTATAATGCCTGACAATAGATCATGCTAGCTAGAAATTATATGAATTGGAGCACAGCAGAAGCTCAGGTTTGCCAACACCTGATTTAAAGAGCATTCTTCATGTTTGCATGGTGTGTTTGCGAACAGGTACGAAGAAGCCAAGAAACACTGAAATACAGCTTGCTCCCCTAAGTAATGGATGCTTTCTGGGACACACAAAAAGGAATTAACATGGGTTATTTAAGCCTCTTCTCCTTTGCTAAAGGAAGAAAAGGAGTTTGATTTGTAGAGTTGGGTAGGGTGTAGAAGAGAAGAGGGCAAGGATGAAGATAGCCAGTTGTTGACTAATGTGACTCATCACCTGTATGTTGCTGTTCTCTAGATTAAAAAAGCTGAAATGGATCGGAAAACTCTTGATTGGGAAATTGTGGAGCTCACTAATAAGCTTCTGGATGCCAAAACAACTATCAATAAACTGGAAGAGCTTAATGTAAGCAGTCTTTTTTTCCCCAGAACATTCATCTTGTGTAAGAAATCGGGAAGTAATTAATAGGCGTATCCTTTCTTAAGTATATTAGTGTTTAACGTTCTGTGAAGAGCAGCACATAACAGCCTGCTAAAGATCAGTAAGAACCCTTCTAAGAAAAGACTGGCAGTGTGTAACAGAGCCAGTTCTTATCTGAGAAACATACTGGTGAACTTTTTCAAGAAGATAAATTGTGATAATTGGGATGCTTAATTTATGTTGAAATTCAATGGTGAAAAAAGTAAGGTTCTACATTTAGGCAAGAAAAACCAAATGTACAGGTATAGTATAGGGGGTACCTTGCTCAATAGTAGTAACTGTGAGAGGGATCTAGGAGTCCTAGTGGACAATCACTTAAATATGAGCCAGCAGTGTGCTGCAGCTGCCAAAAAGGCCAACACAGTGCTAGGCTGCATCAACAGAGGGATAGAATCAAGATCACGTGAAGTATTAATACCACTTTACAATGCCTTAATAAGGCCACACTTGGAATACTGCATCCAGTTTTGGTCACCACGATGTAAAAAAGATGCTGAGACTCTAGAAAGAGTACAGAGAAGACCAACAAAGGTGATTAGGGGACTGGAGGCTAAAACATATAAGGAACGGTTGCTGGAACTGGGTATGTCTAGTTTAACGAAGAGAAGGATGAGGGGGGACATGATAGCAGTGTTCCAATATCTCAGGGGCTGCCACAAAGAAGAGGGAGTCAAGCTATTCTCCAAGGCGCCTGAAGGCAGGACGAGAAGCAATGGGTGGAAAATGATCAAGGAGAGAAGCAACTTAGAACTAAGGAGAAACTTCCTGACAGTTAGAACAATTAACCAATGGAACAACCTGCCTCCAGAAGTGGTGAATGCTCCAACACTGGAAGTTTTTAAGAAGAGACTGGACAGCCGTTTGTCTGAAATGGTGTAGGGTTCCTGCCTGGGCAGGGGGTTGAACTCGATGACCTCCAAGGTCCCTTCCAACTTTATTATTATTATTATTATTATTATTATTATTATTATTATTATTATTATTATTATTATTATTATTATTATTATTATTATTATTATTATTATTATTATTATTATTATTAGTATCAGTTTGATCTACATATGACTTTTATATGGTCCTATCTCTAGATATGGTCTAGGCCCTTTCTTGGGCCTTATTTACTGACTTCTGTTGGTAAAGCTATAAAGTTATCCGCTTACATTAGTTGTAAAGCCTGTTTTAAAAATAAATATTCTAGTTTGTGAATGAGCTTGTCAAATTGCACAAGTTTTAATCAGACACAATGGAGAAGAGGGTAGTAGCTAGAACAGATAGTAGAAGATAGTAGCTGTACATTTTAATGCATTTTAATTTGTTTAAAATGTTCTTTGGGATTTGTGAGAGGAATTGATATGTTCAAGATTGGCTCTTCCCTTAGTCTTCAGTTGCAGATTCTGGGGTGTCCTAGACGTGTTGCAAGTTCTCAATTATTTTGTTTTCATTGTTACGAAACACAGTTGTATTTTTGTCTGGGACATCGCAGTGTTGCGCACCATTTCAGGCTATGTCTCTTTAATCATAATGTGTTGTCTTGACAGGAGCGGTATCGGCTAGACTGTAACTTAGCAGTGCAGCTCCTGAAGTGCAACAAATCTCATTTTCGGAACCACAAATTTGCTGATGTGAGTAAAAACCTGGAGAGGTTTGAGGACTGCTGAATCACTTTAATGGTCTGGGATGAACTGCATGACCTTATTTTTTTGGGAATTTCTATCTCCTAAAGGGGACGACAAACAGTTAATGTCAGTCATCTTGTACATGTTGTCTCTCATTCTCATTGCCTCATTGGCTTTGAATTCAGGTTCCTGCAAAGCTTTTAAAGAGTTGCAGGCCTCCTGCTTAATCCTAACTTTCCTCTTTTTGTTTCAGCTAATCATTTCTATATGAGTCCTCAGCACAATGAGTTGTTAAAAAGAGAATTAATAATCCAGTACACGAATCTGTTTACTACAGGGGCTTTTAACTAACTAAGGTGAGGAGACCATTCCTCACCAGGAGAGAAAATAAGGAAGCTAATTGGACTAGGAAGTTTAAATATCCAGGAGATTTCCAGATTTTGTAAACATCACAAATCTGTTCAGTATGGCCTTGCTACTGCTTTTACTATCACGATGAGTATATAATAAAATCATATTTTATTATGATTAATATATTTTCAGGCTTGCAAAATGGCATACAAATACAATCATGGTCAATTAGAGGTCCTAATAGCTTTTGTAAAAAAAAAAGACATAGTTTATTACTCTTTTCAAACCTGTTTTCAACTCAAAACCATCTATGAGTTAAAGTGACAGCAATCTTAAGCACAAAGGCATATACAATGAGCAAAACAGATGCATAAAAAGAACTAACTGTATACCGACAGTATTTCCAACAAAGTATTGATACCATCACTGAGAAGGGTTTCTTACTTACATATCTTAATAGTGCGGCTCTAGAATGATCCTCAAGGTAGATGTTAAAAGTCTTTTGGAACTGATATATATCACTGGGCTCAGCAGATAAATTTGGACCAAGATTTAATAGCAAATATAGTTGAAACATTTCTGCTTAGTTTATATTAATTGCAGCTTTTTAAAATAGGAGCAACATTAATAGATGATGTTTGCATAATGTTTAAAAAATATTGATAAGATATGAAAATCAATACCTTTTTTTTTTACTGGAAGGGAGAAGAGTTCATCTTCAGTTACACTATATTATTTCATAATTAAAATCAGGCCCCTCTACAATTATGTGTACAGCTACAACACACTGATATGTTAAAACTATTTTTAAAATACTTGCTTTCTCCCATTTCAATATTCTAGTAGAGGGGGTAGGCAACCTTGGCTCTTTGATGACTCGTAGACTTCAACGCCCAGAATTCCTGAGCCAGCATGGCTGGCTCAGGAATTCTGGGAGTTGAAGTCCATGAGTCATCAAAGAGCCATGGTTGCCTACCCCTGTATTAGTAACACACCTGCATGGATTTTTCATCTAACCTGTCTAAACTCTGATGTCCAGAGTCAGTTGCTGCTGACCTTCTAGCTTCCCACCCCACCTCAAGAATTTCATATTATTTTGGTTAAAAAGAGATGCTTTCAGTTCAGGCTAATGGAGACCAGACCAAGACGCTATTAATTCCTATTGATATCCAAGATGCTATTCTTTCTAGTGATGTCATAGTGCTCCTTTGTGTTCTTTACGTACCACAACAGGTCGGCCTTACACTTGAACAGAATATTTTCCAAAATGTTATAGAACTGAGCATTTGGCCCTATTCCTGTGCTCGAGAGCTTATGCTGAAATGGAGATTTAGACTGAATGATTTTTCTTGGGCATTCTTTTTGCACATTAATTTTCCTAAGCACAGTATTTACTTGGTAAAGTAAATGCAGTTATTTTTATTCTTAGTGCCTCTTTGGAGCCTGAGGTTCCTTTCAGCTGCATAAGGAAATTTCCTGCGTGGGGGCTTCCGTGTACTGAGACGGTGCCTTGATGAAAGCCATCACATTCTTGCTTTAATATTCAGAGATTGCATGTGCTGTTTTCAACATTTTTTAAAAAATGGATTGTTTCAATTATAGACTACCAAGCTAGTCGCCCGATATATGACTTGTGGGCATCCCTTTAGGATGCAGAGTTAGCTGTTGCTTTTAAAAGGGTGATTTTAAAATCATTTATATTTGCAGGCCTGGTACATGTTTTCAGGTATCAGTGTTTACCCATTTCTACTGCTGGATATCAGTGTTAGCACAATGCTTGTCTTTGCAATCCAAACACATCTGGCCCATCACTAGGGCATTTGGTCAGGGGCAAAGACTATGAAGAAGGAGATGCTTTACCTGTGACTGGTGGTCATCTCAAGTGGTCACCTCTGCATTCATCCTATTTTATGTCTGCCACGGATGCTGGCTTTCACGTTCCGTCAGTCTGCTCTTCACGGTTTACAGGAGTTTCTGCAGTATCCACTGGGAAATGAACAAGAGCCGAGTCCTGCAGGAAGAACATCTTAAGAGAGCAGGGAAGGACCATGTTCTGCTAAAAGCTCGGCCTTAGGATGTTCTGGAAGATGTTCTGTGCAGAATCTATTTGTGTGACCGCATGGATGAAAGATGATGAAAATGATGTACTCCTTGCTTATAATTTGCCTGACAGGGATTGCAAAAGTGGTTCTGTTTCCAAAATCGATTGAACTAATTCTAGGGCAGCTTGCCAAGGCAAACTGGCAGACGTAGTTTATAACGAGGGCAGGGAGGGAACTGGTCATTCAGTTCAGTGTGGCAATGAGCTTCCCCCCCCCCAATCGATCAGTAGTACTGTGTTGGCCTAATACGAGCAAGGCGTGCAAGTTATTACAAATGTTTCTTATTTCTTCTAAATGTGTCTTGCTTATCAGTCATGGAAAAATTATATTTTACCCTTGATTCTGGGATAGAAATAGAAGTATTTTGAATGTAGATGTTGCCTATTTGAAAAGCTCTTCAGTTACATTTAGTTAGAACAAGCGTTTTAGATTGGATTTGCATACACCTTGGTGTATTTGTCCACCCCAATTACCCTGGTTCGCTATGTGCTATATTTTAATTCAAACCTTCTCTTTCTTATTAGCTTCCATCTGAGCTGCAAGATATGGTCAGCAAGCACCTGCAAAACACTCAGGATTCTGAAGGCCCTGGCCAGGAGGAACTGCACACCTTGGCTCCCTCTGATGCTGTACCCACCTCAGTCATTGCTAGAGTGTTGGAGAAGCCAGAATCCCTGGTGCTGAACTCAGCCAAATCCAGTAGTGGAAGTTGCTTGGTGGCTGAAGATGTGTTTGTGCATGTAGATATGAGTGGCACTCCTCCTGAACCTTGTGTGAGTTCGGGGCAAACAGAAAGCAAAGGGAAAGAAGGATCAAGACAGCAAAATGGGAGCTGCAGATCACAGAACTGCCTGGAGAGCCTGCCGAAGGAGGTGCCTACTTTTGAGAAGCTAAGCCCATATCCTACCCCTACCCCACCCCACCCCATGTATCCAGGCCGCAAAGTAATTGAGTTTTCAGAGGACAAGGTGCGGATTCCAAAGAACAGCCCACTGCCTAATTGTACTTATGCGACCCGCCAAGCTATTTCTTTGAGCTTAGTCCAGGGGGAGGATGAGAACGGTGACAAGCAGCGGCCCCTTCCCAGCAGCCCAGCCTCAGGTCAACGCTCTGCTTCTAGCTGCTCCTACCAACCTTCCCCCAAGTTGAGCCGGGTTCCTGGATCTTCTCAGAGCAGCCCCTTCAGCAGCCCCCCACAGGTTCCCAGCACGTTTGCCAGCTCCGCCAGCTCAGAGGAAGATTTACTAGCTAACTGGCAGCGGATGTTTGTGGAGAAGGCTCCTCCTACCACAGAGCAGGTGCTAGTAAACCGTACTGCATTTAGCCGTGACTCAGCACAGGAGCTCCAGAAACGTTTCAGTCGCTCCATGCAAGAGTTAGGCCGGGTAGCTTCCGCCTACTCGGATGGTGAAGAATCAGTGCAGAGCTGCAGCTGGACTGTAAGCAGAGAGTCAAGCGTGGACATCGACAGCACAGAGTTTCAGAGTCGCCGGAACCACTTCTCTTCTGACTACAGCACAGATTTCTCCCAGGATGAAAGCTGCAAACTGCTGCAAGGGTGTGGTCCCGAGGGGATGGCAGAGCTGGTCACTTCTTCACCAGAGAAGTCCAAAGATTACATAGACTACACATCTGGGAGCCCAGCTGAAGAACAGGAATTGCTACTCCAGGAAAGTAGGATGAACAGCCACGAGGGGGTTTCTGAGCAGGGCAAGGATGGCAAGAACAAGCCCCCTCCTGGGCGCCCACATCGCAGCCCCAAGAGAATGGGGGTTCATCATTTACATCGGAAAGACAGCTTAACCCAGGCTCAGGAGCAAGGCAACTTACTTACTTGAGAATGGAGAAGGTTGCCTTGGCTCCCCAGGTTGAGCGTTGCATTCTCTTCCCAGGCTTGCCCTTCATGCCCTGAGACCCAAGGGATTGCCATCACCTTATTTTGGCCAGGAATTCTAGGCAATGTTTAAGTATTTACTGTCTTCTTAATACACAGGAAAGGGGGGAGACAGCTCTTCTCTAACATCAGGATGCATTTGGATGTACGCTGGCAACAGTTTTGTGCTGATGTTGACTGCTCAAGCACTCCTCAGGTGTAGATAAGAGATAGCATTGTGCTCTCTGTGCCTGCCTTCTCCAACCTGTTCTCCTTGTCTTGAAGGCCAAGATCTGGAAAATAGTTCAGAGTCCAATTATAATAATATATATATATGATTGGAAAACCAGCACAATTTTAGATCTACACAAGCACTCCGTGTGAAATTGAATTTGGTGGTCATTACTTTACAGGCCTTCCCTCTTAAAGTAAAGAACAATGGAGCGGTTGAAACAAAGGTATGCTTTCTATCTCCCTTCCATGCGTTCTTTCTCCAAACGCTTGGTGAGGGATTCCACCTGACTTCATTTCTTTTCTTCGAAACGTCTGCCTTCACACTTACTGATCAGTTCCAATTGATTCAAATTATGTCCTGAGACACCTGAAGCCTATATTTCTACCTTTTTGGCTTGTGGCACGAGATAGGAATATTTAGCCCCTATTTTCTTGCCTCAATCTCCCACCAAGCCATCAGGTGAAGAATATGAATGAAGTGAGAAGCCTTCCATGAATGAACATCCTCAGTTCTGTAAGCTTTTGGTGAATTCTGTTAAAATGTGGTGAGTTCATGTTTGTTTCTCCAAGCCTTCCTGTGGCTATGTGCATAGGTTAACAGGGCAGATGAGGCACAGGAACCACCTTTACCGTTTCTTTGCATGCTGCATATGGGGAGTGGGGCTCCATATTCTGGAACTTGGGATTTTCTGCCAAACTAGACCTCAGACTCCCTGTCATAGTCACCCAACAAAACTGAGCTAGATTGTTTGCCATAATGAGCTGAGTCTGCATAGCTGTCTATTTAGCTATCACTTGGGTACTCTGGATCATGTCTTGGTGATAGTATACTATGTATGTTTTCCTTTGGACTAGTCTTCCTCACTCTTATTCTTTAGATGTGTAGGGGCTAAAATTCCCAGCAAGTGTGATTGTATAGGGCTATGTTGTTTCCAACACTTCTTGAGGATGCCAAATTGAGGAATGCTGCTTCAGGTCTTCAACTGTTAATATGTACTTATCTCTCCATTTTTGGGTGAGCAGAAAGGTGTTGTGGGATGGGGTGGTACATGCTGTGGAAGAAATACCTCAGCTTTTTGATTTTAAGTCATCTTATGTCTGGCCCATAAACTTAATTCACTAGCTGAGGAAGAAATCAACATTAATCCAAGACTAAACCATACAGCCAGCTTGCCTCTTGATGACTCTTCTTGGCACAAAATTAGATACTTCTTGTTTGCCCCCTTGGAGACGGCTAATGAGGATGGGCACCCCAATATGGGGTCCAAATTGACACTAGTGCCTTTCCAAGGCCTTACCCAAGGTCTTTTATTCCCTTTCCCCCTTTTTGGTTTCCTACTTGTATTCCGTATTTTGTTCTTCCTTTGTGGGTATGTTTTTGTGTTATTTGTGCATTGGAGGGGAGGGAATAATTTCATAGTGTTAAAAATATTTCATTAAAGAATCAAACTTTCATATTTGATTTCATTAGCCTGCCCTGCTATTCATGCAACCAGAGAAATTTTGGTAATTTTCTGTTAGCAAATATTATGGCCTTTCTTTTCAAATACAGCAATCTGGTCATACCTGACCTTTTGGATATGGTCACGTTTAAATTCTTATTAATGGACCATTCCTTTAGTTAGGCTGCTAACTACTGCATTGTATTAGTGAGATGTAACTCAGTATTTTTTTGCTAATAAACTGGTGCTAAAGATACTATTCCTTTAGCTTACATATTTAGTGGTCTGATTTCTTCAGCTGATATTTACTTACTTCATTTGTTCTCTTGATTTAGCTTGTGAATTCCTTGAACTTTCTCTGCACTACATATGGAAGAGGACAAAGGTTGCTATATTTTTCTGTTCCAGTCCTCCTGTATTCTTTTAATCAGGTTATTGATGGAGATAGGGCAGCTTGGTGATCTTTATTTAAACCAGTATTGGTTGAATCTTATCTAGTTGAAATGAAATAGTTGTCATGAGCTAATTGGGTCAATAGAATCCAGATCCAGTTCTCCATTCTGTGTTTGGCTGCATAAAACATTCTGAAGCTGAAACAAGTATAGCTGATAACGAGATGATCTAGATATTTTTTTCCTTCTCTCTTTAGATACATTGAACTAAAGTGGAGACCCATACAATTCAGCTCAAGGTTGCAACCATCCCTCTTTTGGCCCTCACAGCCCTCCCAAGTTGGTGGGATCTAAAATTTTGGACTTTTTACATTTTTTCTAAAAACGTTGGCTGTGGTTTAAGGGCCAAAATGGATAATTTAAAGCCTTGCAGAGGTTATTGGTACCCATTTATCTCCTTAAGCTAACCCCTTCTATAAGTGGCCTTTGAAGTGCTGTTGACATGCTGTCCCAGCACTCGGGTAGCCCTGTAGATAATAACTTAATGGGCTAAAGTTTGGGGGAAGAAAGCCAGAAGAAACTAAATACGTTTCTTATTATAAATGAATAGTATAATTTATCAGGTAAATTACTGTCCTTGTGCAATCTGGCTTCTTAGCCCTTCACCTCTGGCAGTATTTTGTTGGAGAACTTGAATTGACTCATTTAGCTGCCCCACATTTTAGAGTCCCAACTCAAGACTGTTAATCTACAACTAAAATGCTGTGGTGGTGGTGGTGGTGTTTTGCTTTGGGATTGGGTTTTGTTTTGTTTTGAGATTTTCAAACTGATAATGTATATTTTAAAGGCAGAAATAAAACTATTTTAAAAATATGTCCCTGCAGTCACTTGTTTTATTTTGTGGCTCGAATCAGAAACAGACCATAGAAATCTTCTGCTAAAATTCTAAAGGTGCAATTACAGGTATTTTTCAGAACTTGCTAATTGATATTTTAACCAGAAATGCAAGGGATCTAATCTGGAACCACCTTAATGCAAAAGACTGCTGTATCACTGAATGCTATATCTACCTGTAAACTTCACCAAGATTAACTTTCCTTTATGATTGTATTCAGACTGATTTTTTTTCTGGAATTATCAGTTAGGTGACAATTGACCTTTGGTCTTTAGCAGGATGCTGAAGACAATAGTGTAGCATGAGGAATCCTTAGTAAAGTAGAAGCATATATTCTTTTTTATTTTCAGTGTTTGGGTTTTAGAGTCCCTTCAAATTCTTGATATACTTATATATCAGCCTTTCCTGACCCGAGTCCTTCTAGATGTTTTGCTCTCTTAATATCCATATCAACCTCAGCTTCAACCACTTCGAAGGTCGTGTTTAAAATCCAAAACATCTCTGTTGGATGTCCACTATAAACCATGCAAGGGCTTACTGAAAAAAAGTCCTATTTGGCAAATGCAGACCCTGCTGCCTCCTACTGGTTTTCAAGGTCTTTGTATTTTTGTGTGGAGGAGATCTATAATTGCATTTCTAGAATGATGGTAATACTGTACAATAATATTTTTATTGTCGGACTAAAGTGAACTGATCTCTAGAAGTAAGGCCAATATATCAAAATTAGTAGAGATAATGAGCTGTAATCACACCTGATCTCTGAAAAATGTTTTGCAGTCTTCACTTCTACTGAAAAAATGTGATGGTCTATTGTAATATTATCACTTTCATTCTGAATTAATTGTTGATACATTCCTGGGGAATGGAGGTTTTTAAAGTGTTTTTTTATTGATACACCTATGTATGCTTTAATACAGGGCTTTTCAACCTTTTCACCCATTGTACCACTTTTAAGATATGGCAACATCCGAGTACCACCAGTCGCCTAGCAACGTGTCCAAAACTTGATGACCAAAAGAAAAAAAGAAAAGATAAAAGTGATAAAGTACAGGTAGTCCTCGACTTACAACAGTTCGCTTAGTGACTGTTCGAAGTTACAATGGCACTGAAAAAAGTGCCCCCCAAGCCACAGCCGAGCAAGACACCTGCCTGCCCGCTCGGCGGCGCTCTTCCTCCTGTCCGAGGTTTTCATTGTTGTGAGCATTTCTGTTGAGGGTTGGCAGTGGGGGTGGGATGGGGGGGTGTTTGGTTTTTATTCCCCCCCATCTGCTGGGTGGTTGCAGCAGGTTTTGGTCACTTCACATGACCCTGGGACACTGTGACCATCATAAATATGAATCAGTTGCCAAGCATCTGAATGTAAATCACAAGACTCTGGAGATGCTGCAACATTCCAGCTGATCCGTGCTTCTTCTGGGCTCAGCAGAAGCGCCAGGATCAGTGCTGCTTTCCAGCTGATTGGTGCTTCTTCAGGGCTCAGCAGAAGCACCAGGATCAGTGCGAGCTCCAGCTGGAGCCTGGGGCTGATCCTGGCGCTTCCACTGAGCCCTGACAACCCTGCAGCTCCAGCCATCTCTCACTTAGGTTTGAGCGGTGCTGCCACCGGTTCAGCTCATTCCCCTCCCCCGCTACCACTTTTCTAGGATGGTCGCGTACCACCTGCCAGGTGCCAATATACCACAGGTGGTACCCGTACCACTGGTTGAAAAGGCCTGCTTTAATATAGCTGCTTTGGATTTTATTTTTAAAACAAGAAAAAAGGTGGTACGTTGGACTTACCACACAGTGGGAGAGAGGCCTTTGCAGTGTGATGTCTTCTTCCTGCTCACATCCAGGGCAGACTCAGAAGATTCTCACAGTGCTTTCTGGGGGAAGATATAACTTCTCCACCAGCTTCAGTATGACAAGTCACAGGATTACCTAAAGAAAATACGCTTCGAAAAATATAGTTATTGTGTGTGCGTGGAGGATTAAATTATGTAGAATTAGTTGCTGAAATTGATAGGTATCTATCAACACCTAGGTAACCTAGATGCCCTGTTTCTACTATAGAAAAAAGAACTTCATGAAAGTCAAACGTACTGGTCCTCTTTAGCAAAACCAGGGCATTTTTATAGTGTGATATGCCAGAGGTGTCCCCGAGAGTGGAATTTTACATCTGGACAGTTTCTAGTCCTTGCTAGAAACTACCTTTTGTAGGGTTCTGCCAAAGAATACTTCACCCAATCATTGCAAGAGTTACACTCCCAGTGTTTTATAAAGGACACAGAGCGCGGCAATTCTACAGATGTGTCCCAAGCAATCCATAGTGAGTCTTTAGGACTCACCCATATGAAGTTATATGGGATCTACAGGAAGGCAAATTCTATTGGTTGGTGCTTACTTCTCCCCTTTTGCCAGTGGGAGAAAATATTTCCCCGGCTAGACCCGAGGCTAATGTGACTCATTTTGGGGGGTGTGGGTGTTCTGTGCCTCTCCCAAGTAATTTGTGTCCCTTGTTGCTAGTTGCTGATTTGGGTGTGGTAGGGGCAGAAGGAATGGGGTCCTGGTTCCTTTGACTTTGTCTTTTTGTTGGTGGTGGTTAGGGATAGGGTTAGGAGTATGCTGCTTGGTTGGTTGATTGGTTAGGAGTTTATTTTTTCAATCTCAATAATATTAGAGGCTTTCTAAATAGATTACCATGTTTGGAAAGTCCCGATATGAGAGCTGATTTTATTACTTTGCCTTCCAGTGTTCTACCCATAGTTGTCAAGGTGTCTACATTAGAAGCCATGCCTTCAGCCGAAAACTGTATAATTTAGGCTAATATCTGCCATAAAGCCAGGTTGGCTATTATGATTAGGCCTCCCCCTTGACCATGGGATCAAAAGTCTAGGGAGAATGGAATAGGCAAGGAAGGCTCTTAGTAACAAGACTAAGGCAGTAGCTAATGAGATCTGTGTTCCATAATCTTCATTCTCCTATCCTCTGGATATTCTGAAAACATCTGTCTCATCTTTATATACTGTTAACTTCCAAAACCAAAGGTGTCATGGGAACAGGTCCAGGAATGCCTTGGGAAAGTTATAGAATTTGTAGGCCCCACCTTGTCATCCCTGGAATTCCCCATTCTGTCTTGAGTACTTTACAATATTATGTACTTCAGAAAATGGAAGCCAAAAAAAAAAAAAGGAGAGAAGAACTAAGGAGAAATTTCCTGACAGTTAGAACAATTAATCAGTGGAACAACCTGCCTCCAGAAGTTTTGAATACTCCAACACTGGAAGTTTTTAAGAAGAGATTGGACAACCATTTTGTCTGATATGGCATAGGGTTTCCTGCCTGAGCAGGGGGAGTTGGACTAGACGATCTCCAAGGTCCCTTCCAACTCTGTTATTCTGTTATTTCCACACTCAATTATGTGGTTGCTGTAGCTTTTATTTTTAATGGCCTATTGTCATTTTGTGAAACAGAGAGTATATCAAAATGGATTTGAGAAAGTAAAGATAACAAAGTACATGAGATTGAGTTCAGTGCAGGCCTTGGTTGAAAAAGTTCTTGCAACACAACTCTATTGGTGTTCTGCTTTTCATAAGACAATAAGATACGTGGAGTCAAGCAGCCAAACTGTTTTACTAATGCCGTGTTCAGGTGAGCTGTTACTATTTTCAGTGTACATCTCATCCCTTCTAACTTTTCATCGATACTTAGATCAGAACTCTGCCATGTTTTGTGAAGTTTATAAAAGCATAAATACAAGCAATAAAAAGAATATCTCTTATACATATATACATCTGAAAAAAATCAGCTTCTCCCAAAGATCAGTTAAGTATGGCAAAATATAAAAATACAGCAACTGAATCATCAAAAGCAGATGATAAGGACTGATTAATTAGGATCTGGTTCCAGAGTAGGGAAAAGAAAGGTGACTAGTGTATGGATCTGCAGTCACACAGCCTAGTATTTGCATACAGGCGTATCAGCTTTCCTATCTTTGCTTAGTGCAGGGGTTTCAACTGCCGGATGCGTCATGCCGAAACCACGCCCACCACATTGCCAATGGAGAAAAAGTCGCGATATGTCGTGACATGTCACGTGATGTTGCGAGTTTGACACCCCTGGCTTAGTGCACACACAAATTTCAGAAGCACAGTAGACATTACACAAGATGTGTGAAAATACACATTTCTACCAATATATGATCTTTCCAAATACAGTACATGGAAATACTTTTCTCATCAGACATTCTGTTCACATCTCTGTTTCCGCTAATAGACTTTCTCCAAGGCCTGATGTTACCAAGACCATCTGGGAACTAGAATCTGAAATGGAAAAAAAATTTCTTTAGCATTGACACTGGCAATTTTTATCTTCCTTTAGGCCCCGTAGATAGTGCTGCCAAAATTCAAAAGCAAAATGGTTAATTTTCAGCCTGTGAATTTCTCTTTTAACTTTGTCTCAAAATCACAACAGCAAAAATCCAGCCATCTCTATCTAGTGAAAACAGCAGTTTCCTGCAGGTTTCAGCACCAAGAGACAAGGGAAGCCATCGTCAATTGCAGCAGAGTCTTTTAAGAACATCAGGTTTATTAAGCCTCACTTTCTAAACACCTTTGAAGTGTAATTACTGTAAAATTGCACGAAATCTTCAAAGCAACAAGTTTGTAAAACTACCTGGTGAGTTAACATTTGTTCCAATACAAAAGATAAGTTAACAGTCTGCATAATTTAAAGAAATTGAGATAAACAGCAAAAAGCTTAATAAGAACTTAAAAAGTTACAAACAATTTTAAGGGATCAGACAGTTTTGGAATATTAGGACTTTTGTTAAAAGCTTTGGGAAATAATTAAAAAAAACCAATTAGTCTATTAGAAAATAAGCAATAGAAATGTCAAATTTTGCCATTTTAAAAATAAAGCACTAGAGGGGCCTAAAGACTTCAGGCAGAAGAAAGAAAAAGAGTCTTGTAGAACCTACAAATGACACCTTTATGACATTTCAGGAAATTTTGGAAGAAGGGGGTTATGATCTGGTAGCTACGATGTCCGCAACATTGTTTTCCTACAGTATAGGAATGTATTACTTCCAAAAGATTTTAAAGAAGAAATGATAACTGGGAAAAGGAATATTTTGGAAGATTGACGGGACGAAAGGAATAAACAAGTATTAGTGCAGAAATACTGGGAAATAAATTCTGGACTATAAATCAGAGATGACAGACAAAATGGAACCTCAAATGGTAAGACAGAATAATTTGGATAATTATTTTTTATCAGATTTACAAACGTATATTAAAAAAATTGAAGAAACTTTTGAGATGGGAAAAACAAAGTGAACGGAGATCAAATCCTACAACAACATCAGAATGAAATAAGGACCAAGATTATCTATTCTTATCTATTCTTTTTTTTAAATTTCAGTTTATTGTTTATTACTGGTAGTCCTCAGCTTACAACCCATTCATTCAGCTGCTGTTTGAAGTTACAATGGCACTGAATGGTGATTATGACTGATCTTTGGAATGTATTTTTAAAATCCTTAATAAAGTTATTTTAAAAAAGAAAGAAGCACCAGATTTTGATGTTAGGTGTTTACTCTGATTCTGTTTTTATATCACTGTGACAGCTATGAAGTTCTGATGACTTTTAGTATCAGCGATATACCAAGGTAAGTAAACATTCAGCATGTTTGAAAAATTGGCACATACTTTTTCACAGAATTGTACCTTCCACTATTTATTTATTTAATGGTTAGGTATGTATAGCTCCAAATAAAGAATTAGGCTTCCATTTTTATTTTCCAAGTACAAGGTTTGAGGCCTATGTGGAAACTAGAGTAAAGATGCAGCAAACTCTTTCCCCCCTAAAATTGGAAAGAAAAAAGATATTCATTTGTACTATCTTATCTCCCAAGATAATAATATATTGCTGCATTAATTTTAGATATATTTTGAAGGTGCAACCATATCTTAACTTCTGATTTTCAATTATGGAACTGCTTCATATATAAAAAAAAAACCCTGGAAACCAGTCTGGTATGTGTTTGTAAGCAGGCTAAGTGACTCTATTAATTCCTACTGCCACATACCAATTTATATGAATGATTCAAGAAAATCACTTTCAGGATGAAAGCATTTATTTATTTAGTGTGTATGTGCACCTTAGTGTCTCCTGGTGACTGCCTAGACAGTCCCTGAAGCTTTCTTGTCTTACTATATTATTTTTTAAAGGAACTCAAAACAAAAGCATTATTTATCATTAATTTCAAAATCTTCCCCCCCCCAATTTATCTGAACCCTTCATCTGTTCTAAAATCAAAGTTTTAATCATCCTTTTTGCTGTTTATTCTAGAAAAAAATGTATTATTTATTAAGTATTTAAAACCTATTTCACAAAGGATTGAAGGAGACTCACTGGGTATTGTAAAACTTGTTAATTCGAAAGTTCCTAATAGCTGAAAAGCAGTTAACAAGCATTTTCCAAAAGCGATTAGGAAAGGAAGTATGCGAACCACGTGTCTTTTTGAGGAGCCAATTGTAGTTGGAACAAGATGGCTATTCCCTCATCTCCCAGAGCTTTAAAGCTACTGGAGATCGCTGTCTTGTGTCTCCCCACGAGGAACAACTCTGGAGCATTTGTGGGTGATCTCAAGCCCTCTCATTGTCCAGAGAGAAATTATGGAGAGGCAGTCTACTCGCTGGATCTTCATTCTGTCACGGTGAGCTTCAACTTTTGTGGTGCCATCTTCAGCTTGCCATTTCTTCCCTAGAAGTCTTCCCTGCAGTTTTCTTGGAAAGATTTTGGAAGTGGCTTGCCATCTCCATGAAAGCATTAACTATTAGTTTATAGTCAAATTTAGTATCCATCAGCTTCTATTAAGATTTCATCCTGAAACAGGAATTTCAGTTCTAGATAAACTAGGCCAATTATGCCAATACAAATAAATATTGGGATGAAAGAACAATACAATTTAGAGATACGATTATAAAAACTTCAATATTACAAGAATGGGAAAATATCTGTTCTCCATCAACTGTATGGTGATCTGAAATATAGAATTCCTCTATATTTGAAAAAGCATCTCATCACTAGGAGTCTCAACTAGTGGGCTATTTTAAGTATCTGTATAAACTATTCTACATGGCTAATATAAATTCTTATCTCTTTCCAAATAAATCAAAAGATAAAAAAACGCAGTATCCTAATTCCACATGCATGTAAATCTCCCACACAGTGTCACCTCCCATTCTCAAGAGGGAACCAATCTTACTGCTTTGACAGATCCAGGAATTCTTCTCTCTGGCCATCACTTCATGGGACACAGTCTCATCTTCTTCCTCCCCCTCTGAAAGAAGGTCTGAGATTTGCTGCTGTAGTTCAGGACTAATGTTGTTCTCTGCCAGGATCAATGTCCTCAGAGCTGTTGGATAGTTTTCCACCATGTCCAATAGGATCTGAATTGTGTCAGAACAGAACAGAGGCATCGTGAGAAACAGCTCACTCTAGTCACCAGGTGACCAAAAGGGGGAAAAAAAGATTTAAACTGGATCATAAAGATCGTTTGGAGGTGGGAGAAACTTCTAATATAATTTACCAGATTTCCTGCATGGATTGCCCATGACAGAATGGGAAGAAGCTAATCACCAGACTGCAAGAACAAGAACAAGCAGTTAGATGAGGGGATCCATACTCATTGCAATGAACAAGGATATGCATTCAATTTTGCAGCTACTAAGATTGTTTGCTGAGCAGGGACAAAAATAGCCAGAGAAATGATTGAAGCCTGGGAACCGGGCCCTTGATCAGTGAATAGGAGTGCTGATTTATTATCACCAGCTTACCAGTTACTTAGGAGCCAAGTGTGTGGCAGCAGAAGGAAACAACAACTAACTACTTAATAGCCGGCCATCGACACCCTAATTAACAGCTAAAAGCTACACACAACCAGGTGTCATAGAAATACAACTCATAGAACAGCCCAGTTCACACATTATGAAAAGAGAGAAGTCCCCTGGAGATGGGCTTCAGCATGAGCCTGAAAGCTTGGAAGAATAAATCTTTGGTCCTGATGACCGATTCAGATTGGATCCTGCAAGATCTAAAATGTATTTATTATGACATGGGATTAACAATGGCCAATTAATCTAAAACATAGTTGTATTTCTTCCTATTCCCAATTGTAATTACACAGAGCAAGTTCTGCATCACTAAAGAGAATCAGTTCTTTTGTCACTAATTCACTATCTAATACCTGTGACTGTATCCCTCTCTGTTGGTTAAAAAAACAACCACTCCCTTCACATCAAACCAAAATCTTAAGGGGAAGTAGGAGGTCTTCCACATCATCGAATTTTAAGTAATTGCAATTTCTTAGGTCTTTTGAAAAATACACAGGGGTGGGGATTATGTGCAAGCTTTGCAGTTGGTTACGCTGACTTTTTATGACTGGCAAGAGAAATAAGGGCAACCAAGAAAAATACTTCCTTACCATAGCTGACTGGTTGGTAAGTCCTGTCCCTTCCAAGTCTAAAACTTCTAAGGTGCGGCTGGATGCCACTGAAACAGCCAGCATTGCTGCTATCTGGTCACCTGTGGAACAGAAAGCCGGGAGAGGTGAGAAAAGCGCAGTGCAGCTCTACCAGACGCACCCACTTCAAGAGCAGCCGAATGTAAAGGGGCATCTGCCGTCATCTGAATGCTGAAAGTTTCTCCACTCTCCCTCAGATTATGGCTCCTGATGCTGAATTCCATAGTTGCAGCTTTATAAAGAAGATGCTGAGTTAATACTTCACCCTGTGTTGATAGTGCAGGGTGCTAGGCAATGGTGAGGAAGTTCTCCTTTTCCTCCTGCTTTTCATCCTTGGCAAACTAGCTAACAATAGCATAAATAAATAAATTCTCCAACACTGTGCAAATCTCTGAGTAATCCTTGTCTCTCCTTGTCTCTGAGTAGCCCCCTAGCAGCTTATGATTGGTTAGCAGATGAAGGACACGCACCACTCCTTGGGAGCCAAGGTGTGGGGAGGGGAAAGGGGGGGGTTATCCATCCTAGAGGGCAAGGTGAGGCAGGGCGTGCACAACTATGGCCAAGATGTTCACATGTGTCTCCCCCTTTAGTGGGATGAGTAGTATAGAGCAGCCTGGCTCACCAGCTGCCAAATCAGCTCAGCAATGCAGCTGGGAAGAGAAGAAGTTTCCATGGCAACCGCTGCTGGAACTCCCTCTTTGCCTTGCTATTTTTTGAAGCGGCAGCTGGGAAAGGGACAACTTATGCCCACCAAGTCCAGGATGTGGGATGGAATTCAGCCAATGACCCCACAAATGAGATATTGCCACAGAGTCCGGAGGAAAAGCTCATCATCTTGGTTCCAGGTGGCCCAATAGTGCTCTGCTCCTTCCTTCCTTGTATAGAATGGGGTTGTCCTCCGTCCTACTCGTCCAGAATTGATCATGTGACGATGGCAGGTTTGGTTTTGCACTTTCAGCTTTCAATTAAGGAGTGGTTTCTTAAGCTTTCTCTTATTGCTTCTGTTTCAAGCATGTGAGTGAAAGATTATTCCTGATAAACTGGGACCCGGCTTACAGACAAACGTAAGAGGGAAAAAAAGGGGGGGAAACCTAGATTGGAAGAAGCTCTGATTGAAAATTTACCAAGCCCCTACCAGCCTTTGAAGATCAGGTGGGGAGGTACAGTCCCAACACATGCAGAAGACAATGGGCTATAGAAGGTTGGGACAGAAAACACTGGATGAAATGGCACACAATTGGCCTGACTTTGTAGAAAGCAGCTTCACCAGCTGCCAAATTTGCCTTTTTCCCAAGCAACCTTCTCACAGTCCTTAGGTCCTCTTGATTAGAGGGCAGAGTAAACTGCTTTTAAATTACTACTGGTGTAAGGCAAGCATATCAAACCCACGAGCCGCATCAGGCCCTTCACAGCGAGTAATGCAGCCCTACAAGATTTTTTTTAAAAGTAAAGGAAGTTTGTTATTTATATACATTAACTACATATTTTCTAGGCAGCCCAAGACAATTCCTCTTCAGTGCAATGAGGCCCAGGCAAGTCAAAAAGTTGGGCACCCACGGCATAAGGCAATTTGACTTTGTTCCCTAACCAAGAAGATATAATGGCCTTCTAAGTAGTTCTGTTAGGTATTATCTGGATGTGTTTTAAGATGTAAGCCTTACATGACTGTGATTAATATTTATATGTTACTTATATGTAAGGATTGTGATTAATATGTATATGTTACTTATATGTAAGGGTGTAGGTCTATACACGTTGTATATAGTATGTTTAAATGTGTGTTATGTTTGTGTACACTTTGAGAGCAAGCAACTAAATTTCATTTTTAATGTGTGCCATTGTGCCCACAGTAAAAATGACAATAAAGGTCTGTCTGTCTGTCTGTCTGTCTGTCTGTCTGTCTGTCTGTCTGTCTGTCTGTCTATCTATCTATCTATCTATCTATCTATCTATCTATCTATCTATCTATATGTTATAACCTGTATAATCTCAACAAAATCTCTAGTAGCCAGAAGGACACACAAACACTGCCGAATATCCAAATCCAAACAGTCCTCTCACCCAGGGGATTGTAGTCCAAGTTCAGCACTCGCACCTGGGAACTATGAGCCACTGCAATAGCCAGACGTCCCCATCCCTTGGGGGTGATGCCAGAATTTGCACTCAGAGTCAGTTCCTTCAATCCTAGGTATAAAAGAAAAGCCAGGTGACCTCAAGGCAACTTTTACAAAGCCTCTTCCATTCAGGGTTGATATCACTGAATTATTAATGCAGCCGAAACTTATCCAACCCTGATCAATTAACCTCAAAATATATTTTCAACACACTCTTGTTCAAACTAGTGCTACAATTATTTGGTAAGCTTTGTTAGATATGGAGAAACTAGAAGGGGAGCAAAACATTTTCAGGAGCAAAAGAAGCTCAAGTTGCTTGAGTAGCTGATAGGCAAAGTGTTATCTTACCACCCCAACTGTCACAATAATGTAACAAATAAGCCAAATATTTGATCATGTTCTATCTTCCCCCAACTAATGCTGTTCAGATGTGCTGAAATGAGAGCTGAAATCCTAACCACTGTGGCCCAATGTTGCAACTTGTGATCCCACAACTATTGGAGCACAAGATTGGGGAAAGCTGTTTCGAGAATATTTCAAGTTCTGCTTGCTGATTCTCCAATTCAAATAATAGCTACAGGTAGTCCTTGACTCACAACCCTTCGTTTAGTGACAGCTTGAAGTTATATATATTCAAGAGTCCATTTTAATTTCACATGAAAAGAAGTATACTTCATTCTTAATGTTGTCTTGAGTTGAAAATCATTTATTTTTAATATAATTTTATTAAATTTAAAAAAAAAACATTTTGCTTGAAACTCATTTATTCTTAACTCCCATCATCTACCACGGGATTTCCATTCGAGCCCACTGCACTAAGAAACCAAAGCCATAATTTCTTTTGGACAAAGAACTCTTGATATTCCCACAATCCCTTTTGCTTTGGTGGAGCAAAAGTCCAAAGAGACCGCTGCAAAAGATGACGTGTCCTCTCTTCCTTACCTGACTTGGCCCCATCAGGAGGAAGAAGGCCACAAATCAAGTTGATACCTTCATCTCCCAGCATGCAGTCCCCCAAGTCCAAGGCCACAAGGGAGGGATGGATGGATAAAGCTGGGTTGAGAATGGCCAGACCAGCATCTGTCAGAGGACTCCCATGAAGGCTGCATAAATAAAAAGGAATTATTAGACTCCCTTTCCTTCGACTTGCAAATGATAAACAAATCCTAGGCCTGTGTTTCTCAACCTCAGCAACTTTTAAGATGTGTGGCTTTCAACTCCCACAAGTCTCAGCCAGTATCCACACATCTTAAAGTTGCTGAGGCTGAGAAACATTATGTGCTGCATAGGCACTTCGTTTCAGAAATTAGAATGAAATCAGGCACTGGTAGAAAAACACAGGAAGGTTATAATGGAGGACAAGAACACTCGAGCCCTCTGAAAGAGGTAGAGAAATGTTCAATAAAAAGACTTCTCTAAAAGCCCATTAATACATATTTTTGCCTGAACTTTCTTGTTTGGGAGCCCATTTCTTTACTGGGAGTGATCTTGAAAAACAAGGATGGTCCAACCTTGGCTAGTCTAAAGAAAAGAAGAAACAGGGGCGACATGATATCAGCATTCCAGTATTTGAGGGGCTGCCACAGAGAAGAGGGCATCAAACTATTCTCCAAAGCACAGAGGGCAGGACAAGAAACAATGGTTGGAAACTGACCAAAGAGAGAAGCAACCTGGAATTAAGGAGAAACTTCCTGACAGTGAGGACAATTAACCAGTGGAACCGCTTGCCTTCAGAAATTGTGGGCGCTCCATCACTGGAGGTTTTTAAGAAGAGACTGGACAGTCACCTGTCTGATATGGTAGGTTCTTCTGCTTGAGCAGGGGGCTGGACTAGAAGACCTCCAGGGTCCCTTCCAGCTTCTATTCTATTCTATTCTATTCTATTCTATTCTATTCTATTCTATTCTATTCTATTCTATTCTATTCTATTCTAATGTACACTTCTTAAAACTTCAAATTCATAATTGACATTAGCCTTATCCATTACTTGTTGAAGCTATTCTAATTACAGTGGTACCTCTGTACTCAACTGCTTGGTATCCAGTAGCATCGAATTTGCTACTCAATGCATTTTGTCAAGAAAATTTTGTCCCAATACTTATCATTTGTTTGGTACTCAACGCGCAAGCTAGAACCTGTTGGTGTTGGTTGCCTTGTGACTTGCTACCCTTTCCAGCAGAAACAATGGTAGCTCCTGCCCCCTACACATCCCCTTACAGTGTTATTTTAGTTTCTGTGGTTATTTTGTGTATTTTTGCACTTTTTTTCTCATCACTACAGGTAAAGTGAAGTTTTTATTTTATTTAATCTAAGTATTTATTAACTTTTAGGCTTATTTCTCATGTAAAGTCATGATATACAACCCTATGTTTTTACATATTGCCTTAAAAATTGCATTGTCTTGGGTTTGGGAATGCATTAAATTTATTTACATTATTCCTTAGAGGAAAAGTTTATTTGGTACTCATAATTTTTGGTACTTATCACACCTCCCAGGACCAATTAATGACAAGTACCAAGGTACCACTTGTATTTGGATCAGGTAAATAAAAGTCATACAACCTGCAGTTATAGGGACTAAAGCAGCTTTTTAAAAAATTGTAATAAATTTAAGAGGACTCTCCCTGACCTTCTCTGAAAATGAATATAAGATTTGGAAGCTCATTTAACTGTTCCACCAATTTATTGCAACAAAATGGCAAAAGATGGTTCTATGGCTTTCAAAGGTGGAGAAATTGCATTCCTACTAAAATCTATTGGATTTTGACTTCTTACCAGCTCCAGCTCAAATAGCAAACATTCTAATTTGTGTCATTTACTAATGACTACCTTTTACTCTTGGGAATTAAATTGTGATAATTATCAATATTCCGGATTGGATGACCTTTGGTTCTTTAAAATGCATTAAAATCCAACCTCCCAGAACAGGAAGATATGTTTCTTTGGAGCAATAACCATTTAACAATATGGAAAGGATAAATGAACTACGCTGAGGAACTCTGGAAGCCCTCATTCACACCTGAGTACATTCCATTTACGCCAATGAAACGCAACTTTTAAAGAAACCAGCACAGCATTTGCCCTGCAGGATTTGCAACACCGGAGTAGAGGCGACATTCTCGGCTGATACTAAACGGAGGGCCTACTCACAACAAAGATTGGACAGAGCGGTTTGTCTTCAGAGCTTCAGCCAATTGCTTGACCCGATTGATATTGGAAACAATCCCCAAGTTAAGATTAAGTTGAGCCAGGGAATGAGACTCTGCTACCCCCTTGCAGATGCGGCCGAAATCTCGATCAGAAAGTTGACAACCACGGAGGGAAAGCAGTTTGATGGAGTTCTCTCGCAAGCTCTCACAAATATCCCGAATCTCCGCACTGGATAAAGTCTCCCCAGAGATCTGAATAGATCCTGGCAACATCGCTCTGAAAACTATAAAACACACGTTTTACTACGTTAATCCGGATTGCTGTGCTCAGAAAATATGGGAAACCCAGATTAGCGCGCCAGGAGCGCTCTGCAATCCGGTTAAAAAAAAGAAAAGCAGGGCGTTACATAAAGGAGCGAACCGACAGTTTTATAATCCTGGGTAAAACTGGAAGATTGGTGCAATTTTAAATAAAAGGAATGCATCGATCAAAGCAATATGCGATTCGGAAAAGTCCTGCTGGGCGTATTGCACGAACTGGAACCGAGTTCAAATCCGAGTTAAAAGCTGGGAGGCTAACGGCGCCAAATGTCTAGACAGGGGGAAAAGGGAGCGCGCTCCATGTCTAAAGAGGAGCGGGAAAGTGAGCGGACTGATAGGTGGTGCAGCGGAGGGAATAAGAAATGCAAATCCAAATCAGAGCCAAAGTCTTTCCAGGATTTAAAAGCCGAGGGAAGGCGGGTTGTCTGGATTCTGCAGAAGCGGGAACCAGGTGTGCGCGGGTGTTTGTCTTCCGGGTTTGCTCCCGTTTCAGAGAAACCCTTCTTCCCCTGGCGCGCTTCTCCCCATCCGCAGCGCTCGAGTCGCAAGCCCGGGGGCTGATCGCCGTCTTGCTCTGCTCTCTCCCCGCAGCCCCACTTGCTCTGCTCTGGCCGCAACGGAGGCCCGACTCCTCCAGCCCGGAGACTGCGGGCTCTGCCTCCCTTCCCCGGCGCTTCCTCCTCCTCCTCCTCCTGCTTTCACCGCACCCGCGGCTACCGCTGCAGCGCTTGACGCAGCTTGACCGACGCGCGGATCGGAGCCGGGCAGCCCGGCCTTTCTCCCTCCTTGTGTCCCAGGGGAAGGATCCAGCTTGATTTGGCGCTGTGCCGGTTTCTATGGCGACCCTCCGATACTGGAGCCGCCGCCGCCTCTTGCCGAGACAACCGCTCGGCGGCGCTTGCAGCCACCACTTTTCACACTAAATCCCTCCGCGGCCTGGTCCCTCCAGGAGCCATAAGCATCCCTCTCCTGTACCTCTTCCCCCCGCCCCCGCGGCCCCCCCCCGGATCTGGAGAGGAAAAAAATAAAAGTATCCAGGTGGGGCTCGATGGGAGAATTGCAATTATTTTAAAAAGCAATAGCTGGACTAGATCCGAGGGGTTGTCTTAATTTTGGATAAACTGTTCCACCTTGTGGATGCTTCTGGGCGGAAATTCCTGGGGAGAGCCCCAGATCCCAAAGGGTAAACATCACGCCCTGGGAACCCGCAGTTTACTCAGCGGATGCTCAACGGTACTGTTTTTTTTTTTCTTCTCCTTAACCAGATTCAGCCCTTCCACCTCAGAGGGAAGAGCCAAGCTTCCTTTTCCATTTACAAAATCAGAGACCACCCTGCAGAATGTGAATCATAAGGTCTGTTTCTTACGTGCAGGAATTAGGACAGAAACTCCTAGTTACAGGAAACTGGGTAACTTTCAGGTGGGTGGACTTAATGATAATGATGACAATGATAATGATAATGATAATAATAATACATAAGTTGGAAGGGACCTTGGAGGTTATCTAGTCCAACCCCTCTGCTCAGGCAGGAAACCCTATACTATTTCAGACAAATGGCTGTCCAGTCTCTTCTTAAAAACGTCCAGTGTTGGAGCACTCACAGCTTCTGGAGGCAGGTTGTTTCAACTCCCAGAATTCCCCAGTAATTAATGGTATTTATCAAGAAAATTGAATTATATGTTTTATGTTATTACAAACTGAACATTAAGTCAGCCATATAACATGACACCCAGAGTTGCATTATCACTGAATGGAAGGCATATAAATTCAATGAATAATAATGGCTGCAATACAAATAAATAATGCAAACTCATTTCACTTTGTATTATCAGAAATAGGTCTACCTTTTTCTGCATTAATCAGTCTTCACTTTCAGTACAGGGTCCAATTTTGGGAACCACAATTAAGGATGGATTGAAACAAATTTAGATATGTTCAGAAAGAAGCAGGGATGATCGAGAGCCTAGAAACTATCTCCTATAAAAAAGATTAAGGGAATTGAAAATGTTTAATCTTGGGAAGAGAATCTTAAGAAGCTACTAATTGGTAGTCTTCAAGCAGGGTTGTTAAGAAAATTAGGCAACAACTGGTTTTGATAATCATTGGTTGTGTTCTTGCTAATTTACTCATACTAGTGCAATCATGTCTGGTATACATATGCATGAGCAAGTGTGCATCTGGAAAGAGTTTTTGTTAGTTCAATCCCTGGTCCCAGATTTGCTACCTAATCCAGCTTTAAGGCACAAGGCCTGGCGCTCTGTTTATATGCTATGTAGGGGTGTTTCAATGGGGAAAGAGTCCATTGGGTGCTCATGGGCTTAAATAATGGTCCTTCCCTCAATACGTATTGTTGCCAATGACTGTGCTATCACAGATCATTCAGGAGGCTACAATTGCCTGGGGTCATATGACAGTGTGTGAAGTTTAATGTTCATACAGCACATAGGAAAAACCATTTCATGACTTAGCATGATATATAAAGCAGTGTGATATCAGCAAAATGCTTGGCCTCTTTCTTGATTATCTGAGCCAAGACATACATAGCCTTCATACAGGGACCTCTTAAGGACATCAGTATGACTGTTGCATTATTAGTTTTGCTTATACTCTGTCCCACACAAAGTACTCCCTTGATGTTCACACAAACCATGCACGCAGGGCTGAAAAAGGCACAGTGGCAGTCCACACCAGTGCAACCACTCATGAGAAAGATACTGCCATCTTCCTCCAACAGTGTAAACAAACAAAAGTACAATAATTAGAACTTACAATGAAAAAAGAATAGGTTTACTTAATAAAACATTAATTGTATAAAGTACTTTGCAGAGTTCAAAAATACAAAAAGATTAAACAGTATGATCAACATTAAAGTAGTAACAGGAAAAGAAGCAACAGCAAAATCATAAATCACTGTTGCACTGACACATTATTAAAAGGTATGGGAGAATAAAACTGCCTTAGCCTGCCAACCAAAAGACAATGATGGTGCCAGGTGTATCTTGCTGGAGAAGACTTCGCAACTTAGAGGATTATGTCTAAGCCTGTGTATCGAAACAGTATCTGGAAGAAGAACAATGGAAAATAGTCAAAAGTATGGTTCAAATAAAATTAAAGCAAAACAATCTAGGATAAAACGTCATCACCCCAAGTCCCAGTTCATCAGTTTAATTTTTCATATGATAACTCCATCATCTTAGTATTTTATGCACTGTCTGGTATTGGTTCTTTGGGATTTTAGACAGGATTGGTTTTTTTTCATGTGGAGATGCTGATATTGTTTCCAAACAAAACCTAGACATTGTAACTGAACAGATGTTGAGAAGGGCTGTAAATCTCAATGGGAATTATTTCTGGGGAATGATCAAAAGGTGAGCTACGCCATCTATAGTGAATGTGTTGATCCATCAGGCATACAGCCTTCAGAATTTGGCTTAATAAATGCACTTTCACACACTACTTTTTCCATTCCCCCGATTCTCCAAAGTGCTGATGATGATTCATTATCACACTCTTCTACTCACCTTGCTACACTGAGAAGCAAAGAGTAATTGCTCTGCCCTAAAAATCCTCTTGACACTTATTCATGTGAAAGGGAAATGAATACCCTCCCTATCCAAGGTGAAAAGCTGTTTTGTCACTTTTCCCCTTGAAAAATCTCCAAGGATAGGTGGCCCACGGGGAAGCAGTAGTTTTTGCAAATGGGGACAAGGGCTGCCCACGAGCTCTGCAGAACTGCAGCATTTTAAAAGAAAGAAATGCTGCTGATGAATCAGAAATGACTGGGATTAGCTCTCCAACACTGCTGATGCCACAGGATCACAGGCAATCTGGAGCTGGTTTCAAGTTAAGTCCTCATGTAGAATTGCTTTGAGCTGCTGCCACCACTGTCACATACAGTAATACTCTAATCTAACTTCTTCATAACCCCAGTTTTTGAAATTATATAGCTGAAGCTTATTTGCTTGCTACCTTTGGCATGCACATTCTTGGTATTGCATGAAGAGATTGCTACTGCTTGTAGAAGAAGTGAGACAGCAGAAGGAGTTAATGAATACCGTCATATGTGGGTTAATAGATTAGATAGTAGACAACCAATTATTAGTTTCTCACAGCAGCAGGATAAGGATATCCTGTTTCAGCAATTCTGCTCATTTTGGAAAGACAGTGTACAGTATGTGTACAATCTATACCCAGCCCCACATAGAATCCTTGGTGCAAATCAGATTGATGCTTAAGGATATATTGGAACATGAGTGAGAATTAAAGATCCTTTCTTCTGGCAGAACATTTAGAAAAAGCTAGGAAGTTGTATTTATTTTAGTTCTCACATTTATATAGCTGCCCATCTCACAAAAGTGACTAAGTGCTGTACAATAAAAATTCACTGGCAGTGGCCATCTCTTCAGTAAAATAGCCTGTTCCCTGCAAAGCTTAGCCTTAGCGTCTGAGCTGATCCAGTCATGACTTTGTTTAATCCTTATCCTAGAAAGTAGCAGCTGGTATTGAAACAAACCTGGGAGGCACAGTTTTCATCAAGGAGTTTTGCTTACTTTAGCAATCAAACTCTGCAGTGGTTGCTTGGCTGAAGTTTTATGTGATTAATTAAATTCCAGGAATGCAGAGGAAAGGAGAATTAATTCCTGCTGTTAGTTTCCTTTTGCTCAGTGGATTATTGCAGGGTAGAGAATCATGAGGAGTCAAAGAAAAATAAATGGCAACCTGAAAATAAAAAAAAAACATTCTTAGCCCTCAGTTAAGGAAGAAAAAAATATTTGTCTTAGACAAATATTAGATTAGAAAGAGCAGGCTAATCAACCATTGTATTTCCATACAGGATTAATGTGCAAAAGCACTTTGGTGACTATAAGTGAGAAGACTTCAAGAATTTCATGTTAAAAGTGAAAAAAGGCAACATAAGAGCTGGTTGTTCAGTTTTAAAAATTGAAGATTGAATCAA